CGATATTTGGATAGCTGCGGAGATGAGTTGATAGATTGTGTGAGCTCAGTCATGTATCCCCCCTCGAGCGGCCTGTGATTTTCTCCCTGTTTTGCATACCTAACCTCCCCCCACATCTCGGGGAGATTCTGCCGCCACAGCAGGATTTGAAGGCAAGGCGCTGGCTGAAGCAGGTTGGCGACAAGTGCACTGATGAGGTCAGCAGGGTGACAGATGCCAGGGGTGGGGATGGCAGTTGTGTTGGCCACAGCCTGTGCGGAAGGGTCTGTGGGGGAAGGAGGAACCAGCCCTTGCCCAGGACGGGAAGGAAACTGATTCAGTGTCCATTTCCTGACCCGCGGAGCTCAGCCAGTTCATCAGGTCACAGTGTGTGACACGCCTGTGTTTCTCCAGGACGTTAAGGAGAGACTGTGTCTCTTCCCCCCCCCCCTTCCTGTTGACAGATGATCCTCTAAAAAGGCTTTGAGCGCCTGTTGTGCGAGACATCGAACACTGATGTCTGGCCTGGAGGGGGGGACAAAGAGCAGGTGGTACAGCATTTAAAATCCCACGCTTTGAGGCAGATGGCCCTCAGGTCAGATCCCAGCCGGCTTCCGAGGGACCCTCTCTCTCCCACCCTCCCCTGCGCGCTCTCTCTGGTGGGGACAGAAGCGTCCTCCTCCCCAGCCGAGACTTGCTGTGGCACATGGGAAGGGGCGGCTTTGGCACAGACAGGCATGGGCGTAGACTTGGTCTAGACCCTCATGGCTGGGTGGATTCGGGCACCTTAGCTGGAGTATTGATACGTGAGTGCTACACTGGTGGCGAGGGACAAAAACCCGTCCTGAACCAGCTGAAGCTAAAGAAGGACACGTATCGTGTCTTGTCAACCAGCTGCAGAAGGGACTGGAGTTTCAAAGGAGCGATGTGTGCCCTTTCTCTCTCTCTGACTTTTCATCTCCGCTTGCCTCTGCCTTCGCTGCACCTCCCCAAACAGACAGGCTTTGGTGCCAGGGACCGTGGCTTCGTAGCTCTGGGCTTACGGGCTGCCGACGTCACAACCCAGGGGAAACAGATTGCTGTCTCCTGTCTTTGATCTGTGAGAATCCAAAGTGTGGGCCGCGTGCCCTTTCCCGGAGCAATCGATCAGTCACTGGCTGGTGGGAGGGACAATGTAATTGGCGGGTAAGGTCTATTAATAGAAAAACAGGGAGAGGGGGCGCTTTGAAGATGCAAACAGTATCATTACACTCCAGAGTGGACACGTGCCTGTACCTGCGCGTATACGCTCTCCCTGGTGTGACTGACTATAAAAATTTCATCTAGCACGATCCACCGCCCCACATACAGCCAAACGCCCCTGCCCTCACCCTTAGGTGAGACCACCCTTAGCCACAGCACATCCAACTTCAAGCCCGGCCTATCTGGGGCTCTAGCATTTCTCTGAGTCAGCTCTCAGTGTGGCTTTTAGTGATCTTGGGCCAAAAGGAAGTGGACCCTCCCCACGTGTGAAAGGGCTGGAGAAGAGACCTGGGCTTAAATTTCAAGCGAGACCCTTACGGGGTGTCAGCACCTGGGCAGATTCCATAGCTTCTTTTTTTTTTTTTTTTTTTAATTTTTTTTTCAACGTTTATTTATTTTTGGAACAGAGAGAGACAGAGCCTGAACGGGGGAGGGGCAGAGAGAGAGGGAGGCACAGAATCGGAAACAGGCTCCAGGCTCTGAGCCATCAGCCCAGAGCCTGACGCGGGGCTCGAACTCACGGACCGCGAGATCGTGACCTGGCTGAAGTCGGACGCTTAACCGACTGCGCCACCCAGGCGCCCCAGATTCCATAGCTTCTAATTCTACTGAGCAAAGAGGAGGAACAGAAGTAACGTCAATGGCGAGCAGTCAGAACATACCCCATGTGCCAAAACTCCAGACTCGCTTCTAAGGCAGGCAGGTGTGACGGTCATTGGAATTCGTTTCCTCATCTAGAAAATGAATTCACAAGTGTGCGACAATATTAATTTTAAAATAGTGCTAAGTGAAGTAAGCTAGTCAGAGAAAGACACCATATGATTTCACTCATACGTGGCATTTGAGAAACGAAAGGTCCAAGGGAAAAAAAAGGAGAGAGAAGCGAACCAAGAAACTGATCTTAACTACAGAGAATAAACGGATGGTACCAGAGGGGAGGTGGTTAGAGGGATGGGCGAAATAGGGGATTGGGGACCGAGAGGACACTTGTCACGATGAGCAGTGAGTAATGTACAGATTTGTTGAATCAGGGGCACCTGGGTGGCTCAGTCCGTTAAGCGTCCAACTCTTAATCTCGGCATAGGTCTTGATCTTAGGGTTGTGGGTTCAAGTCCTGTGTTGGGCTCCCCACTGGGCATAAAGCCTATTTTTAAAAAAGGGGGTGGGGAACGCCACCCGGGTGGCTCAGTCGGTTAAGTGTGTGACTTAATTTCCGCTCAGGTCATGCCCTCACGGTTCTTGAGTCCAAGCCCCACGTGGGGCTCTTTGCGGACAGCGCAGAGCCTGCTTGGGATTCTCACTCTCCCCCTCTCTCTGCTCCTCCCCACTCGCATGCTCTCTCTTTCTCAAGACAAATAAGTAAACTTAAAAAACATTCTTTACTGGGTGGCGCAGTCGGTTAGGCGTCCGACTTCAGCCAGGTCATGATCTCGCGGTCCGTGAGTTCGAGCCCCGCGTTGGGCTCTGGGCTGATGGCTCAGAGCCTGGAGCCTGTTTCCGATTCTGTGTCTCCCTCTCTCTCTGCCCCTCCCCCGTTCATGCTCTGTCTCTCTCTGTCCCAAAATAAATAAACGTTGAAAAAAATATATATATATAAAAAAAAAATTCTTTAAAAAAAAATTGTTGAATCACTGTATTGTACACCCAAAACTCCTATAACAATGTAGGTTAACTGAACTGGAATTAAATTTTTAAAAACGTTTGGGGCGCCTGGGTGGCTCAGTCGGTTAAGCGTCCGACTTCGGCTCAGGTCATGACCTCACGGTCTGTGAGTTCGAGCCCCGCGTCGGGCTCTGTGCTGACAGCTCAGAGCCTGGAGCCTGCTTCAGATTCTGTGTCTCCCTCTCTCTCTGACCCTCCCCTGTTCATGCTCTGTCTCTCTGTCTCAAAAATAAATAAAACATTAAAAAAA